GACCCCAACTCAAAAAAAAAAAAAAAAGGAAATTGGCACTGCTGAAAACCCAAACATGCAAGTGAAATGGAGGGTGTCCTGAAACATTATCCAAGGAACACCTGGCAGAGAGCATGTCTTTGCACAAACAGTAGTGTAAAAATACCCTTTATGTGGCCACCGAGACCAAGATGGCCTCAAGACTCTGCCTTCCTAAGGATACCTGGGCCCAGGAGCTGAGCTGATTATGTCCTTCAGCATCAAGGGTCTCTTATTGTTCTGCTACCATCATCAGCTCCCACACCAGTATGCCATCATGATTCACCGGGCCTCAGACCACAACCACCCAGTGCCCCTCTGAGAAGGGGAATACATCTGGCATGCCCAGCTGCCCCAGGGCATCCAGAGCCCAAGCTCCGAGTACCTCTGTTGACAGGGAGGAAGCCCCCTCATTTCTGGCCCCCAATAAAAGTGTGAAAACCAAAAATGGAGGGTGACTGTTGTGTTTTCATGACTCTTTTATGAAGAGTAATTTGGGAGCAACCGGTTCTCTCAGGTGAGAATCTGACCTGAGAGACACAGGTATTGAGAGGTTGGTTGAGTCATGCTCATAGTTCAGAGCTGGGTGAAGGGTCATGTGCTGGGCTTCTGGGGCTGCCCAAGCCTGGGATAATTCTTAGTTTCTGTAAGAACCACCACCCTCTCTCCAATATGCTTCCTCTCTTTCTGCTTTTACTTTTTTGCATAAGCTAATCTGAAGCATGTTTCAGTTACTTGCATCTAGCAGGACCTTGAGTTAAATAATCATAAGGCACCATCTCACCACAATGAGAAAAAAGAAATTTCCTGCTCAGGAAGTAATATGAACTGCCCCAGCCTCAACTATCAAAGAATTTCATCAAAATTTCAGTTCCAATTTGAAGACGTCAACAAGTTGAGCCAAGAGATGGGTGAACAGGAGATGACCTGCAGCCAAGACTGTGGGTAAATGGTCAATTTCCAGGACTTAGTGGCTCTACCCAACACTACCACTGTCCAATGCTCCTTGGTTAATGAATTCCTCAGCTAAATATCTGATTACAGAAGCAAAATGAGGGAAAAAAGGGGTCAGGTAGCCCGGATAGACCATTTGGGAAGACAGCAAGGCCAGCGAATTGTTGTAAGCAGCAAGGCCAGCGAATTGACAGATCATAATCAGAAAGTATTTTGAAAATTAAACCAAAGGTCATTTGAAGAACCTGTGATGTGTCTGCACCAGAGTACTGGGTGTTGTCCAGACACCCTGACTTCAGGCAAATAAACTGGTTAACCTGGAAAGGGAATGGAGCTCCTAGAATCAGAAATGAGCATGAACTTGTGCCCCTGACTTTATGGTTCCAAACTTAAGTTGGAAGAGATTTTTGGGGAGCAACTGAAAGGAAGTCCTACTCTCCATAGCAGAGAGTAAACCCATGAAACTCATGGTCCCAAGAACTGGTACTCCCCCAAATAAAGCAAGCAGCTGTGAGACAGGTTTTAGAGAGGTAGTAGAAGGTAGATGCATATGTGATTAGAACTACCCTTCTCTCTCTTTTTTTTTTTTGAGTTGGAGTCTCACTCTGCATACTCCTGACCACTGCAGCCTCGACCTAATCGGCTCTAGTGATTCTTCCTCCTCAGCCTTCCAAGTAGCTGGAACTACAGGCACGTGCTACCATGCCCGGCTAATTTTTAATTTTATCGTAGAGACGAGGTCTTGCCAAATTGCTTGGGTGGGTCTCGAGCCTGTGGGCTCAGGCAATCCACTCGCCTCAGTCTCCCAAAGGGCTGGGATTACAAGCTGAGCCACCGAACCCAACCAGAACTACCCTTTTCAATATAGACACACAGATGTATGTACATACATAAGTTCTCTCTCTCTCCAAGTTCTGTCTCTCTCTGTGTGTCTCTCACTTGTTCTCTCTCCTTCACACACACACACACACACACACACACACACACACACACACACAGTACCACACTTTGAGACTGAGTGGCCACACCATTGGTTTAGTCTAGTACGGCTTTGCTTTCTTCATTTTATTTATTTTAGAGATAGGGTGTTGCTCTGTCGCTTAGGCAGGAGTGCAGTGGCGTGATTGTAGCTCACAGCAGCCTCCAACTCCTGGGCCCAAGCAATCCTCTCATCTTGGCCTCCAAGTAACTGAGACTGCAGGCACCAACCACCATGCCTGGTTAATTAATTTTTTTTTTTTTGGGGTAGAAACAGCCTCCAGATAGAACCAGCCCTGCCAACACCTTAATTTTGGACTTCTAGCTTTGGGTTCTGTGAGATGATAAATTTCTATTGTCTTAAGTCACCATTTGTAGTACTTTATTAAGGCACAGGAAAGTGATACACTCATACACACAAAACTAGTTCTCATCTCAGGGCCTTTGCACTTAAAATGCCCTCCACCTGGAGTGCCTGTCCTCCAGATTTTTGCATCAATTTTTGCTTTTCAACTCATAGAGGCCTTCCCAGTCACCCCAGCCCTCGTTACTCCTCATCCCTGTCCCCCCACTGCACTGTCTTCGTAATACCCATTGCCACCCCATGCTCCCTTTCCATTCATTTGTCTACTTCTTTTATGTCTGCCTCCCCTCCTTGAACGTGATTTTGATAAGAAGAGGATTTAGGCTACTTTTTTATTGTTTTATATCCACCACCCAGAACCACGTGCCTGATATAGTTGGTTCTTCATACATAAAAACTGATAAAATGTCCAAATAAATGAATGAGTATCTCTCGTTGAGTCTGAACGCTGCACTCCACCTCATCTCCTGAATGAATCGGAGTTTCTCCACCAGGCTCCCGACTGACTCATGCATCTGAAGCTGGGGGAATCCCTCTTTTCCTCTGAGCTCATCTCTGCCATTGCTTCCCTTTTAAGAAGGTGATCCCTGCTTCTGACTTTCTACCTCTGGGAGTTGCTTGGTGATACATTCGAGTGAACTGCTCTGCAGACACAGAAGAAACACAAGAATGTCTACCTTTCTTCATTGACTGCCATTTACCCAGAGCTGGGAGTCTGAGTCTCTGAATTCCTTATCTGTCTCCATGTCAGGAGGTTGAAGCAAGCCTCATCTTGCTTAAGAATCAAGGAGTGACAGAGTTAGAAATGAAAGCGTAACAGAAACTTGGACCGATCACAGACTCAAACCAGTGCATCTGCTTTCCAGCTTAGAACTGGGAACTGAAACCCATCCATAGGAAGCTCTTTTTTTCCCCTTCCTACTGAAACATCGTGGTCCGGCCCGATTCCTTTTTTATGCACAAGTACCAACAGCAATGTTCACCAAATTCTAAATAAAATGTAAGGTGCTCCTGCAGTCTTATCTGTACTACCCACCCAAATTAAATTGTTTTTATTTATTTCCTGCCCTTTTCCATTCTTGGCTAAGCACATAGGTGTTTTTTACTTAACTGTCTCATAATGTAACTCGGCATCTATATCCTTTTCTTACTTTGCAGGGTACAGTATTTTCCCACCAGGACACAGTTAACAACCTATAAAGGTCTCTGCTTAAGTAAGACGTTCATTTCTGTGAACCATAACCCAGACATGACAACGCCAGACTGTGTCTCCTATCAAAATTTATTGAAATGGTAGATTTATTAGAAGCACAGAAACACAAGCAAATGAACCGTGAGAAATCTTCCCCCTTTAACCACTGGGAAGCAACACATTTCCCTTTTAATGATAAAAGCAAACAAAGGTGGGAAACAGCTTTCTTCCCTGAAGCCTTTTTATTGGCTTAACCCTCAAATTGGTGTAAACAAGAGAGGAATGGATTAGTTACTGATCGTAGCACCAATACCATTTCCTGTTCCTTAATAACACTGTTTAGCTCAGTCTCTCAGGGGCCAGCCCCCTGTGACCACCACTGGAAACTTAGATATTAACCAAAGCCTTGGAGTCTCTTTGCCAAGTCCATTTCTGCTAAAGTTTGACTGAAAGATGACTTGGTCCATGGAAGCCAGGTAACCCACTGGCTTGTTTAGTGGTGCCTGGGCTCCCACCAGGATCAACATAACTCTCCAGTCTCTTAGCTCTCCTTATACCTTCTGGAGCCCACAAACAGGTTAGATATCGCCCTGGGAGTTGAGAGTCGTCCAAGTTTCAGACAGGTGAATAAAGGCCAGAAAGTCACAGGTACCCATGGGTGGCTCTGTGGCTCCAACTCTATTCAACAAAATGTTGACAATTTGCCCACCTTCAATCCCATGAGCATCAGAGATCAAGCAAAAGTTTCAGATGCCCAGAAGCTTTATTCTCTGTTCCCCCAAGGTTTCTGTGGTCACAGCTTGCAACCAGGCTCCCACTCTGCCACGCTGTTTCTCTGAATTAGATCCTCCGAATCTGGAAATTCTAGGAAACCTTAGGCCAAGTCCAATGACATTACTCTGTGCAACAGCCAAACTGTTTCTCCAGAGATCTTGATTCTTGGTGACAACACCCCTTCTCGGCGTGGTTATTTAACGAGAGGTTGGCCCCCGATAAGAGGGGCTCCATGGCTCACTGGGATCAGCTATCAGTCCATCTGGAACATTTCTGGTAGTGTTCAGGTCCCCCGTGAGCTCGACACTCGTGCTCCGGTTATTGTCTGGCTCACCTGGTGTCTTCCGCCGGAGGCAACGGTTGATCAAAGATGAGAAGAAGTTGGGAAAAGATGGACTGGAGAAATAGTACACCAGGGGGTCCAGCATGCTGTTCATGTAGGTGAAGCTGAGAGTGATAAAGAATGCCAGGTCCACAGAGCGATACACTTCACAATTCTTCGTACCTGAGCTGTACAGGAGCCAGAAGATGCGAATTCTCACGGCCACACTGGGAAGGAAGCAGAGGATGAAGACAAGGGCCACCACCATAATGAAATTGATGGCTCTCTTGATCTTGGCCTGCTTGTCCATTTGTCTCTGCCGCAGGCTCCAGATGATTCTAGCTGAGCAGAACAGGATGATGCCCAGCGGCAGGAAGAACTCCAGGAGGAACATGGCATCATGCCACCGGAAGGTGTTGCAGATACTAAAGCTGCTGCACAGATGTGCAGAGCCATTCTGGGTCAGCATCTTTTTGTACAGGAGGTGAACCGTCAGGCCGATGGTGACGCCCCACAAGAGGCAAGAGATGATGGCAGCTGTCCGATTGGAGATCTTGTTCAGGGCATGGTGGGGATGGACCACCCGGAAATACCTGTCCACGGCCACCACCGTGAGGAAGATGATGCTGCCCTGGCGGTTCATGGCCAGCATGAAGAGCATCAGCCGGCAAGGGATGTCCCCAAACCTCCAGTCCCACTTCCTCACGTAGTTGTCCGTCAGGAACGGGAGGCAAATGATCAGGAGAAAGTCAGCCACGGCCAGGTTGAACAGGAAAATCCGGCTGGATTTCCAGGACTTGAGGTGGAAACAGAAAATCCACAGGGCAAGGCCATTGCCCAGAAGCCCGAACACAAATTCCAGGCCCAACACCGGCGGCAACACATTGGCAATGAAGTCATCTCGGAACACACAGCAGTTCTTGTTGTTTATTTTCAGAAAATGGTTCTGCGGGTGGTGCTGGTTCATGAGTGGAGCGGGTTGGCCCGATGGAGCGCCTCACCTAGCGAATGCTCAGGGAGAGAGGTGTGTGTCCGTATGGTGATCGTGTGGCTCAGCGCTTGCCTTTATGTTATGTCAGGGTGTTGAAATAGATGACTGAATGGTTACCAGGAAACTACGAAATCGCAAAAAAAAAAAAAAAAAAAAAAAGCCAGCAAGGCTCTTATGCAACCTGCTGTTTGCATAAACAAGTATTAAAAATCCCCTGGGCAGACAGGAACCCACAGTAGTTCCTAAATGTAAAGGATAAGTTTAGGCACGCTGACTGTCATTTCTGAAGTACTGAAATGTGAAGGATATCCTTTCAGAAGACTTCGTGCCTGGATGCTGATTGAGTACTTAGCGCTGCAGAATTAATTCACTGTCATTTGCTTGGCTTACATAATGAACAGAACAACAATAGCAATAATAATTTTCTGCGCTGAACTGCATAGTTTCCAGAAACACTAAGAATTCACGTGGAATATTAGCATGAATATGACTTAAACAATAGCATGCATATGATTTTTTCTGGAAAGGTTGAAGAGACAGTAACTGTCTGTCTTATGAGGACAGACAGATTGAATATGAGCACTTTTCCTATGCTATCTCTCTGTATGGACATGGATTGTTTTTCTATACCAGAACTCTGCAATTCTTCTCCAGTTAGAAAAAAAAAAAAAGCTACTTGACAGCATAATATTTCATAAGAAGTTTGAAAACTTGAGCCCAGTTTCAGTGGTATGTTAAAATAAGCTGGACTTTCTGTTTGTTTGTTTTAGATTGTGATACGCTTCCGTGTTCAAGTAAGTGATTTATTTTTAAGTGCATGATTTTTAAAAATTAGAGGACCTTATTTTTTAGAGGAGTTTTAAGTTCACAGCAAAATCGAGCGGAAAGCATGGAGGGTTTTTGTGTACCCCCTATACCCACACACGCACAACCTTTCTCACTAAGTACGTAATTTTTTTGAGTTGGAACCTTACTCTGTCACCCAGGCTGAAGAAATAAGAAATTACTTATCAGCATGCTCACGGCCACCCCAATGTCAACCTGCTGAGCTCAGGCGATCCTTCTGCCTCAGTCTTCCAAGTAGCCGGAACTATAGGTATGTGCTACCACATCCAGATAATTTTTTGATTTATTGTAGAGATGAGATCTCATCATGTTGTCCAAGTTGGTCTCGAACCCACGGGCTCAGGCAATCTTCTCGCCTCAGCCTCCCAAAGTGCTGAGATTACTGACTTGGGCCACCGCACCTGGCCCATGATATTTTATTTTTATAAAATCAAGCTTAGGCCAGGCTTGGTGGTTCAGCCTGTAATCCCAGTTCTTTGGGACAAGTGGATTGCCTGAAGCTGTGGGTTCAAGACCCGCCCGGGCAACTTGGTGAAACCTTGTCTCTACAATAAATAAATAAATAAATAAATAGCCAGGCATGGTAGCACATGCCTGTAGTTCCAGCTACTTGGAAGGCCGAGGCAGAAGGATCACTGGAGTCCAGCAGGTCAAGGCTGCGGTGGTCAGGAGCTTGCCATGGCACTCCACTCTAGGCGACAGAGTGAGACTCCGATTCAAAAAAATATTAAATAAATAAAAATAAAATCAAACTTAGAGTGTCAGGATCTAAGAGGACATAGAACCCTACCTTGCAGTGGGACATTGTTTCATTCAACATTCTTTGCTTTGCAGTTTGATTGGGTGTCATCCTACCCTTTAATATTTTGGTCTTATGTTTGCAGCAACATGGATGGAGCTGGAGAATGTCATCCCAAGTGAACCAACTCAGAAACAGAAAACCAAACACTCATGCTCTCACTTACATGTGGGAGCTAAATGACCACAAAGATGGAAAAGCAGACACTGGAGACACTAACAAAAGGGTAGGCGGGGAGAGGGAGTAGAATTCAGAAATTACTTATCAACCTGAGCAACATGGTGAGATCTTGTCTCTACAATAAATCAAAAAATTAGCTGGGCGTGGTGATGCACTCCTGTAATTACAGCTACTTGGAGGGTTGAGGCGGAAGGATCGCTGGAGCCCAGCAGGTCGAGGCTGCGGTGGCCAGGAGCGACCACTGCACCCCAGTCTGGGCGACAGAGTGAGACTCTAACTCAAAATAAATAAATAAATAAATAGCTTATCAGGTATAACATTCACTATCTGAGAAATGGGTCACCTGAAGCCCAATCTCCAACACTACACAATATGTCCATGTAACAAACATGCACTTGTACCCCTTGAATCTAAAATAAGATTAAATTATATAAAATATATATATGGGAGGGATCCCATATATATATTTTATATAATTTTATATATAAGCTAAAATTATTTTTTTGGAGGGTGAGCCCCTTGTGGTACAGGCTTCTTCCAGTAGGTAAGTGTTCTAGGAACCCACTGGTATCAGTGTACCAGCTAGAATTGTTGTGAGAGGCTACATTCGAATTTTTTTTTGGAGATTCTTTCAATGTGTTTGCCCATTTCACGATGGATGGGTGGTTTACAAGTGCACCTGCCTACACTGCACTGAGTGTTCAGCAGTTTTGGACCAAAAACTGCATGACCCTTTTATTTATTTTATTTTATTTTATTTCTTTATTTTTTTGAGTTGGAGTCTCACTCCATCGCCCAGACTGGAGTGCAGTGGCCGCTCCTGGCCACTGCAGCCTCGAACCGCTGGGCTCTGGAGATCCTTCCACCTCAGCCTTCCGAGTAGCTGGAATTACAGGCGTGCGCCACCATGCCCGGCTGATTTTTTTGATTTATTGTAGAGATGAGGTCTTGCCAAGTTGCCCAGGAGGGTCTCGAACCCGCAGACTCAGGCAATCCACTCACTTCAGCCTCCCAAAGGCGCGGGATTACAGACTGAGCCACCGAGCCCCTTTTTTATTTTATTTTTTATTTTTGAGTCGGAGTCTCACTCTGTTGCCCAGGCTGGAGGGCAGTGACACGCTCATGGCCACCACAGCCTCCACCTGCTGGGCTCAGACAATCCTCTTGCCTCAGCCTCCCAAAGTGCTGTGATTACAGGTTTGAGCCACCGCTCTTGGCGACCCCTTTATTCCTTTAGCTGCATACCTAGGAGCTTATAGACACTTCGCAGTAAACTAGAGTGAGGATGATCTAATATTAGAATCCTACAGGACTAGAAGTAGATGATGAAGATGTTAATGATAGCACCTACATTACAGAGAACTTTTTTTTTTTTTGAGTTGGAGTCTCACTCTGTTGC